TAGCGATATTCATTACTTTCCTAGCGATCGAGTTTGACAAATCAGTCAACTCTGCGATCGCTACTTATTAATCGCAAACTCTGTCGAGAAAATAAGTAAACACGTCTCAATTTGACGTTTCTCTTGTCATTGACTTTGGGCGGCCAGTGATTTAACCAAGTACTAACTTCAATACTAATTTATAATTACAAGAATAAGGTTTCCGTCTCCTATCCAATGTGATTATATCTATACGGGAGATTTTACCCCCGCAATAAAGATATAATAAGCAGATGATGACCTACAGTGTCACAAATTATCTGACAAATAAAATATTTCATCAATTTCGGAGATTGTAGTACAGGAAACGACACGATATTCTCTTATATCTAAGACACATGGTAGCACAATTATGCACATAATATATCACTTCTGCAAGACGTCAAGAATTCTTTTTTTTCCTTAGGAATTAGACCAAGTTTTTATTGCGCCTTCATCATTCAGACCTCAGTTGTCGCCACTGGTTCGAGATCTGTCTTCATTATTTTTATTGATACGTTCTTTGAATTTTATAGCGGCTAAACTGTTCTTTTTTATTCTCGATACAGCGACTAGAAAACGATTTTATTTATTGCCCTATTGATGTTTTTGCTTCTAGGGTTCCGTACTCAAAGGATAAAACGGAAACTCTATTACTAAGACTTCGCTCTCTATCTGTCTGTCTGTCACCATACTATACCTCATGAACGGTGAAAGTTAAACTGTTGAAAATATCACAGAGGTTGTGTTTCTGTTCTCGCCTCGACAAAAAAATACTAAAAACCAGAATAAAATAAATATATACGTTTAACGTGGTTTATTTTTTTGCTTGTTTTTGTTCGACATTGATAACGACAAGAGGTAGACGCTTGTAATATTTAACTAACTTGAAACTTTAAAAATAAATAATTAAATTAAAACTAAATAAATACTGAAGGGTGGCCATACAACAATTTTTATGCTCCTTTTTTTCTAATCATATCTGTGGAGGTATCTCTGCATCAGTGTCAGCGGAGTGATTGGAAATTCTCCGATTTTCTATTCGTGGACAAATAAAATAGACCTTCAGGTATCATATTAATGAGGTTTACCGCGTTTGAATTTGCCAGGTCTTCAAAATGTTAGATATTGTAGTTTGCTGGTGAACTACGCGCGTTTATTGACAAAATGTGCTTGTTTTGAGACCTGAGATTCATTAAAGTAATTTTGAATGATGTGTATAATGTTAAATGTTATTTATATAAAATAAATACTTGACAATCAATGATATTTATTATATGTTCAAATACAATCCACACACAGTACATATGTATTGGCTCTCTATATTCAACAACAAGATGGAGTCCTCCATAGACTACTTATGCATTATGTTTTGACCATAGATAATGATTATTATAATATTACAATGTGTATAAGAATTGTTCGTTTAAAGGTATAATATTCAAAGATATGACTGGATTCATATTGTCAAATTGATAACAAGCTTCTAAATGTAATACATGTGTAGTATCAAATATAAAAAAATAACTACATCATGTTGTGCGATTTATATACGAAACTTTTCCGCCGTTTACGATTAAGAGGTCAGACTATTGATTAAGCCCATCGATCGATCTTCCGCTTTCGTCCTCTCAATCTTAATTACTACCTGTGATTGCGATTTGACCTATCTTAACATTTATAGCTTCGTATAGTAACGAACAAAAATGAAATATTGTTGTATATAGTAATATTACAACATTTAATTATGTAACAGTAGGACATAAAGTCTTTTGGGTCAAGCAAAGGAATTTAGTCATACAGCCACAAGTATGGTTGTATTTTTTATTTTGTTATAATTTAATATAATACTAGCAATCATCATAAGCCCTTTTACGTCCCCTACAAGGGCTCAAGTCTTGCCTGGATCATTACCCACGCGGACGCAGTGCGGATTTGTTGATATAAAAAACTGGAAATGAGGCCGGGACCAACGACTTAACGTGCCTTACGAAGCACGGAGCGAGATAATAATTTTTGGTCACTCATCCCGTGGCCGACCATTGCGAAAGTTGCTTAGTTAGCATGATAAGCACTCATCCACTACGCCATCGGGCAACTTAAACTTAAACACTAACAATAAAATTTCTGAAAACTATATTTTGTTCTCCTGTATCCTTTTAAATAATAGCCATACAGACCTACAGCTAAACTCTCTAAGGCTAAATTAGAGCATAGAGTTCGCATACCCTTGTCTTGCATATAATGATGCTGAGTTCGCCGATTCCTCGTTGTACGCGCTTGTACAACGATTTTATCTTGATGGATGCCCGACAAAGATGGAAAACTATTAATTGAGTGTCCCGGTAATGAGACTTCTAGAAAATTTGCTTTCTAATTCACAGCAACAGTGTTCATAGTACACTTTATCATAGAACACTTTATCATGAGCGTTGAAATGCTGTTGTTCGTGCAGATTTCCATAATTCAAATTCTAAAAGTTACATAAAAAGTATTTTGTAATTATTGAATAATGACATTTCATGATATTATCTTTATGGTAAACCTGACTTTATAATGCACAGACGAAACAACTGGAGGTTCTTTTTGTGATATATGCAGCAAGTAAGCACTAAGAAATATTTTTTAGAAATTCAACCCCAATTAGAGTGAAATGGGGAAGGGGGGGTGAAGTTTATGATATGGACCTGGCGGAAAGTATAATTATAAAGACAAGGAATATATTTAAAAAATTCTAAATATTTTCTTCCGTCTGTTAAACTATCAAACGAAAAACAAATTGTTTTCACCGACATGTGTTTGCATTTCTGATTACATAAGTCCGAAATATTTGAATATAAAAAGAGAATATGGCGAGTTTATTAGAGAAGTTTACATTTCCTCTGTTAATTGAAAATTTACACATAAAACTTCCGAGCGCATATGCTTTCAACAAAACCCGTTTTAAGTCCCATTATTAACAATTTTCCCAGTAAAATAACCTGTCCGCTGTCCCCAATTTTATATCAAAACACAAACTAATGACTATATTTAGCTCGACCTTAATCCGAACCTTTTTTATTGGTATTCTGATGGGGGTCTGATGAGAGGTTGCTTTGAGAGCGTAATGTGCATCCAATAAAAAGTGCGTGCGAAATCGTTAAATAATAACTCTACCGATTCTGAAGGCGACGTTGAAAGTAGCATATTAAGTAACCGTTCGACTTTACAATAAATACCAATAACAAAAAGAAATAACTTCTATTGAAGTCGAGCTTTGAGGTTATAAACTTTTATCGTCATAATGTAAAGCGAGAACTAACTTAAGCTCCACTTTTAAACTGTTAACAGACTAAAATAAGTCAACACATCTCAATTTGGTTTTTTTCTTCTGTTGCTGTTAATTTGATTTAAGCGGCTATAGGTTTGCTTATACCAAGTCATAACTTTGGTTATTATTTTACTAACTTAACTAATTTTAGCTCCAGTTTTATACTGTTAACCGACTAAAATAAGTCAACACATCTCAATTTGGTTTTTCTCATCTGTTGTTTTTAATTTGATTTAAGCGGCTATAGGTTTGTTTATACCAAGTACTTTGGTTCTTATTTTATAATAAAACGGTTCACTTTTACGTTGCATTGTTAAGTAACATCAACAAAAAAAATATATATGCAAGTTTCTTGAATTATTTTTCACTTTTATTAGGCTGTTTTAAAAACGGCCTTTCGAAATCTCGAATGACTTTGAAATAGATCACGTGGCGTGCGGTCAACCGCGTGAGTTAATGCGTCCTATACGTAGTTGCGGTCAAAAGAAATAACAATCGTTTATTGTAAAATAAATTTCCCTTTTCTAAAGTTAAAGCGCAAATAAGAATTTAAAATGTAACTATTTTTTTAAACATAATCTATTTTTTTTCATTACTCCAACATTCCTTTATTAATTCTAAAGCTCTGTTCTTCTGATGTATTTTTGAATGGATTCGCCATTGGTTTTGTTTTTATAATGTCAGATTCAGATCATTACATTGTTGCATTATTGTGATGGTTTACGTTCTTGTGACGTATGCGATTATTATGTAAGCCGGTTTATTACGGTCAAAGAATAAACAATGATATAGGGAAGAAAAGATACTCAGTTCTTGTTTCATTGTGAAACCTACCATTTTAATAGGTATATTGTTTGTAAGTAAAAAAATTTCATAACATTATCTTGTTTTTAACTTTTATGGCAATTAACATTAGGATGATTATTTTTAATGCTTAAAATACACTTTGCTCCTGGCTCTCTGAGATGGGACTCGAACCCATTACTTTTCGTTTGGCAATCCGGGTGACTGCTCTGACCACTGAGATACCCAGGACCTAACAGGACTAACGAATTTTTCAAGCTCTTGTCACTTTTTCGGTAATACAAAGCGTAATTTAATCATTGTTCGGACAATTGTTATTTACAAGATGTTGTCACGTATTTATATTTATCAAGTCACTGATATTACTATTATTCTATATGGAACAATTTCTATGTGATAATTTTGCATTTTCATTAGAAAACCAGCTTAAACTAGATAAACTGGTATTATGTCTCATATTACAGATAAAAAGGGCCTTAAATAAATTAAGAACGGAATTTCTCATTATCTTTACACTATCGCACGCATACGTTTTTCATAGCAAAGTTGTTTTATTTATATCCGTCAGCATATCCATAAACTAAAACTAAAGTAGAGTTCCGCTTCTGTATCTCGCATAATCTGTAGCATCGTTGATCAGAGATCACTGATGATCTATGACGGGGTCATTACAGTGCGCTTGCATCGATAATGCAAGGCTTGCTCACGTTTTCATTCATCGATAAATTAAAATGTTCTAGTGAAAACAAAATTATATAATCCTCTGTAAATTAGGTTGTTTTTTGCCGCTTTGGACAACAGCACGACTTGTCCCTTTGAATTAACTAATTATTAACTAACATTATTAAATAATGATTAAATCACGAAATTAACTAAATAGTAACTCACCTTCATTCCATGCTGATGTGATGTTCTCGTGGTAGAAATACTCGTTCTCCTCTTCATCAGACCACAATACGCCTTCGATGCTCGATGACGTCATACCCTGCACCTCAGCACCCTCGATCATTGACCTCCTCGACAGCTGATCATAGCTAGGCGGCCGTGACAGTGATAGAGTCGATATATCGGCAACTGATGATCGGAAGTTCTTGACACTCCTGCTGTCTATTGGCCTATAGTACCTCAATCTAGCGTCTTCGGATTTGACGGAACGTAGCGAGCGGCAATCGTAGTTTGCGTCGCTAATCGTCGAAATATCGTTTAGGGACACTTTGAAGTTGTTAGGTGTTATATCTCCCAGTGGCACCTCGCAAGAACGCCTTTTCATACTAGTTTTTTGCGACGGTGTCTCTCCCGTCGCTTGCATTTGACGGCTTACGCCGGCACTGTGCAAGAATTCATTTGAATTGTACATTTTGTGTTTTCTAAAATAATATAAAATAATCCTAAGCTTCAGGAACTTTCATTTGACTAAAGGTTTTGGAATTATTCGTTGGTCGGACGAGGCTTATTGTGTCGTGCGAGTTCTGTAACAACCGAAAAAAATATAATTAAAAAAATAGCATTTTAATAATTTTCAACACATTATTTATGCTGCTACGTAAATAATAGCGTTGTTTGAAAAAATTAACCGTGTGATTTAATAAATATAACATTCAATTAATTTCTATTTTTGGAAATCATATGTTCAGCGCCATCTAGTAACTGAGTTAAAAACTACACTGGAACGCGTCAAAGCTTTATGCTATTTATCCGCTTGAAGTAAACATGCATGCTGCTTTCGAAGTCGAAACCAGTTTTCATAGAACATCACTAGATGGTACTATTAAAGATTCCAGAGTGAAATTATGTTTTTTTATAAATTGATTTTTATTCAAATTCCTATAGAGATATCACCGTAAAATTGTAAATTCTGCCTCGTTATATTTTAATTCTGCCTTGTTATATTAATACAATCGCAGGTGAATATTAATTATGTAATATTACAATAAAATCTAGAGAGATTATAAACTAACGATGCTTAAATTTAAAGATGGCAGATAAAAAAAGAGTAATTAGTATAATTGTGCTAATTATTATGATACATCACTTTTTATTTACTATATAATAAATACAAATAACAAGATATTATAGCAGAAAATAAGTTACTTTTTTACTAAGACACGTTAAAAGATACAAGCTTTTCAATTCGTCCCATAAAATCCATAAATAAAAGGGTACCTAGGTATTTGTGTAGCGTATTTATGTTGGTACTAATGGAGTCTTATTCTATTCAAGCGTGAAATTCCAAAAAGGAGGCGAAAAAATACCTCATTTTCGCAATGAAAAGATTCCAAAGAGGTTTCCACTTGTTGAATTTTAAGCTGGCCACTATTTGACCGGTCGCGCGCGTGTTGTATAAATAAAACCGTTTCTATCTTTTGTTCCGCGTTCTGGCGTACCAGAAGGTTCGAAAGTTCCTAGTTTATATTTGTCTACGTACTCCTGTTCCAAGATTAAGCGATGGTGAAAAACACGTGTGAACATTACTGAATTCATACAAATATTAGACAAACTCACATACATTGTTGACATTACTAATAAGTTAATTTGTATTAAGGAACTCCGCGAAATCGAAGGTAGCTGGCAAGTATGTAGTGCCGCATCCTACACACCACCACCGTTAGCAAACCTCTGTTAGTAGGGAAGTTCTAATATACGAAGCACGGTCGGTGCAAAGTCCACAATGTTAGTCTGACGTGCAGCCGTGTGTACCCACGGCGAGATAGTGACCTTAAATCGTTTTTGTGAAGTCACTAGATTAAAGGGAACATAAAAATACTGCTGCTCCTGGCTGAAAGTATCGCCCGACTTTGTCTTTGAGTACCTAGTAAATGTCATTAATAGAAAGACATGAAATATCATAGAAATTTAGATGAATAACCCCTTATATTTGTATCCAAACACATTGGGAATACGACAATATAAGAATAATTGTCTCAAAGGCTGCTGAGGTCGTATTTGTTATTAACAGAGGTTTGCCCGCAGCCATTTCATTTCCTCCGTTCCTTTTTCGTATCAGATTTTTTTTCACGCATCAAAGACTACGCGGATGGGTTTGAGCCATCGGCTTTTTAATTTCCTGCCTATCCCGGCTTTATTATAAAACAGAAATGGAATTAGTTGCATCATTGATTGTTTTAGGGTTCACGTAGCTATAAAGCGAAAGAAGGGAACTTCTATAGGAACACTCGCATATTTGTAAGCCGTAAGGGAAAGATACTTTGTTATTCGGCGTACATTAGAGTATATGAAATAAAAGTATACAGGTGTAACAAAAAAGAATTTTAAACTCGAGCTACATAATTTTTAAAAAAGTTAGCCAGACTTATTCGTACGACATATTGTAATTATAATTTTTAAATATATAGTCTTTGAATAGTTTTATTGGGAATTTCTCCTTACCTGTGAAACTACTGGAGCTAACATTTTGTAATAATACAGATAACAGAACATTTATAAATTAAAAGAAACCCTATTTCACTATTATACACTATTTCTATTTTTTTTATAAATTAAAAGAAATAATGTTGGATTTTCAAAAACTTATATTTGAGCGCAACCCTTTATTACAATTTCTGTCTATGTGATAGTAAATAGTTTAGAGCACACATACATATTCGATTTATTTGAAAAGAGAGTACCTACGTTTATATATATATATATATATAAAAAAAACAAATAATTTTATACAAAAAGGTCGCCTTTAACAACAGGTACCTTTCATTCGTTTTTCAGATAACACGACTAATATAAAACCCAAAAAACATAATGGATTGAAACTATACAATCTAACAGATCTAACGTTTTAGTCGGAATTTTACTTGAACAAATAATTTAGAGGAATTATTGGAATCTGTTACGCTATATGCCGATTTTATGTAGGTTTTTATTATTTGTTGTTGCCACAAGGTTATACTTTTTATTTAGTATTTTCTATAGAATCAATCAGTCTGGGTTCTGGGTATTTTATTGTCTATTTATTTTTTGGTAAAACACTTGTGTACCTATTATCATAAAGTGAAAAAAAATTCAAGTATCAAATAGCATTCATCATCTGCCTATTGATGCCCGCTGCTGGGCTACTGATCTGTTCCCCGCTGCTGGGGCTCAGGTCTGTATGTATGGAATCAAATCGAATATGGAGAATAGGTTATGACCCACCAAGCCGACCCAGTGCGGATTGGTGGCTACTAACCACTGAAAATGCATCTAGACCAACGGCTTAACGTGCCTTACGAAGCACGGAAGAGGTCGAGATAATAAATTTTTGGCTACCTATCCTATGATCGACCATTGGGAAAGTTGCTTAACAACCGTATCACAGACCGAGCACACTAGCCACTGCGCCATCGGGCTTCTTACAGCATTGTATTGCATCAATAAAATGTGTCAATCTGATCAATGATCCCAAGCGAGTGTATTGAAGTTTGCCCCCACCTTTATCCTTCATAGGTAACTGTCGGGCAAACATTGCTCGTATACAGACCGGGGTCACATCGTCATAGAGATAATATTTCGTTACCAAAAGAATGGAAACTTTTTCATTTTTATAGGTAATTTCATATTATTTTGATTCTTATAGCTACCCATCGGAATTTGCTTATAATTATGTAATCAAAGTAACAATTTATATTGTACGAATGACGCATTGCTATAATAGCCACATAGCAAACCGAGATAAACATTAATTTGCCGTGTATGAAGTTCAATGAACAAATGCAATTGAACATGATATCCATTCGGTGTTAGCTCAAAGAGCTCAATTTATATTACAAATTATTTTGCGTTTATAGCATAATTACCTTGTCAAAATGTCTTTCTAATAAGAAAATAATGTCGAATAACGTTGTAAAGGCTTTGTCACACTGAACGTCAGGGGCAGGAGCTGCTGGTTGTGGCTGTAAACTGTAAAGGCGTGTTTACATACATATCAAACGCATGTACAATTTGACAACGTAACTTCGACATATATCAGTGTACCACCGCAGGCAAGTTTGATAGTTTGCAAAGCTATAGTTACTGAGAGAACTGTTGACAACACATTTGACTATCTACTCCACTTAATTTTAGACCTTGATGCATTGTGGTTAGACTTCAAAATGAATTGGAAATGAGCAGGGTGTACCTAATTATATGGGGGAAACTGGAAAATTAAAGTTTTATAGATTTACCGGTCTTTTTGATACTTGAAATGTTATCATGTCTCATTGAGGTCTCTGATCCGATGTGGAATCTCTGTAGACTAGTCTGTTTTAAAATTATTAACATCTCATACTACAGGGGAGACTGAATTTTTTAAACAAAAGCAACTGATTTCTCTCAATTTAAAAACTCTTAGCAGTTCGGCATCATGGCATGGCATGGCACGATGGTTGTGTTGATATCAATTGTTATATCTGTTGATATTTGCTAATGGTTTTTAAATTTCAAGAAATCGGGATAGCTTCAACTCACCTCTATTTTAAAACATCTCAGTCCCCCATACTTTGAAGTTAAAAACTAAAGTTAAGTCCTTGTGTTAAAGAAATCAGAAACAACGACGTTACTATAATCACCCAGACCTCGGTGTCAGGGATATGATAATTAAGAAATTTTATTTTATACATATTACCTTTGCCAGAGGTTGTTTTTATTACATTTAAGAACTCATACAGTGCCAGAATAGCACTTGATGGAGAATTCTGACCTCCCAACACTGATTTTAAGGATGGAGTTATTGCCTCTTGTTCTGATTCGGCCTGTATATATTTTATTCTTAGTAAGGTGACCTTTGAAAACAAGAGCCTAACAATATCTTAATCTTGCTCCCTAGGATAGTTGGCAGTACGCCCCGGGTTTGGCCTCCAAATGGCTGTAAGTTCCCTTTATCAAAACGTAAATTGGGGTTGGAGGCCCCGAAGACAAATAAGAACAGCATGTAGCGGTAGTTTACATTTATTTAATCAAAATTACTTTTTCTGATTAATTCTTCTAATTTCCTTCTTTTTATTACTAACATGACGGATAGTCCAAAATGACGCTCTAGTTTTTTTTTTGTGCACTGCTATATATGGATATCAAATCAACGTTTGCGAAAAAAATACGAAAATAGTATTATTATTTAATTCTAAATTTAATATAGCATCTAAGCTGTGGGATTAGTTATATTTTAGGCATTTCCATAATATGGTTAACAATTATAAGGATTTACCGAGAAGAATAGCATAAAATGACTTAAAATAATAATTTAACCTAAAAACAATTTTTATGTATTTATTTTGCCAGCAGATCGTCCGCGTAGTCCTGTTGTTCGGTGCTTAGGCCAATTAATGAAAGGCTGACTAACTTGATTATGGATTTATTAATAGTATAAAGGATAAAGTAAAGAAACTG